CCTTCCTTCCTTCCTTCCTTCCTTCCTTCCTTCCTTCCTTCCTTCCTTCCTTCCTTCCTATCGACAAAGCCCTCCAGTCCCTTTACCGTTGAATTTCTGCCTAGCCAAACTTCCCCCACTAAGCATTATTTAGATGCAGGCCCACACATTCCGTTCCTTTGTGTCATAGCCGGGGTGGGGGTGGGGGCCCGGGAGCTCCTGAGTCTGCCTACAAGTCTTTCCCCTTTCCATCCTTGAGCTTGGAATCAGCACTTTCCCTTTCTCCTTCCAGAGCCAAATCGAAAAACGGGGGCAGATCGTTGCGAGAGAGGCTAGAAAAAATCGGCTTGAATTTACCAGCCGGCAGGCGCAAAGCCGCAAATGTCACTTTACTCACCTCCTTGGTGGAAGGTAAGCAAAGGGGGGATCTCGGTCGGTGTTCGATTCCTCCCCCCCCCCCATCACTGCACTCCTTCAAGCCTCAGGCCGCTCTTAGGAGCGAAGAGTTTTGACATTTCAAAAAGTTCCCTGGATTGAATGGAAATCGTTGCACGGAGAGGCACCAAAGGGCTGCTCTTTTTCTTTCTTTCCGTTTTTAAAAGTTAAACAACAGCATGTGCAAAATCAGTAGAAGCCCACTTGGTCAATGTTCCTTATAAGCCGTGTGTTGCACATGGAACCACAGCTGCTGAAGGCAGATCAGCTGCAACCCACAGTGAGGCTCTTCAGGGGAAAGCCAAAATGTGTTTACTCCAGGAACAAAGAGTTTGAGACTAGCAGTTCAAGGCTTGTGGAGAGGAGTGTCTGGATCTGCAGCTTTAATGTCGCTTCTTGGTTCTGAAATGACAATTTCACCTTCTGTGCTGGTTTCGGGAGAGCCACGTCACAGAGAAGGATGACCTGCCACAATTGGTTTAGGAATGGTCATTGCAAGTTGACTGTTAAGACGCCAAATGCCCTCTGTGTGTGTTTGTGTTTGTGTAAGTGCTGTCATGTCCATTCCGAATTATGGTAACCCTATGAATTAAGGGGCCGTGGTGGCTCAGTGGTTAAAGACGCTGAACTGCAGACCGGAAGGTCGGTAGCTCTGCAGTTCGAGACCCGAGTGCCGCGTGACGGAGTGAGCTCCCGTCTCTGGCCCCAGCTCCTGCCAACCGAGCAGTTCGAAAGCAAGAAATTGCAAGTAGATAAATAGGTACCGCTTCGGTGGGAAGGTAACAGCGTTCCGTGCGCCCTGGTGTTTAGTCATGCCAGCCACATGACCATGGAAACGTCTTTGGACAGCGCTGGCTCTTCGGCTTGGAAACGGAGATGAGCACCGCCCCCTAGAGTCGGATTCGACTGGCTTTCGAGCAAGGGAAAACTTTACCCTTTACCTTTAAAACATCTTATTGCTAATAACCTTGCTCCGGTCTTGCAGACTAAGGGCCGTGGGCTTCCTTGATGGTGTCAATCCATCTCCTGTTGGGTCTCCCTCTTCTCCTGCTGCCTTCAACGTTTCCTAGCATTCTTGTCTTTCTAGTGACCCTTGTCTTCTCATTATGTGAGCAAAGTAGGATCGCCTCGGTTTAGTCATTTCAGCTTCTAGGGAGAGTCCAGGCTTGGCTTGATCTAGAACCCAGTGACTTGTCCCTTTGGCAGTCTGTGGTATCTGTAAAACTCTCTGCCAACACCACATTTCAAATGAATCAACAACACGTATTCACTATTTCCCATTAGTAATATGTTCAGGCTCATAGCTACGGTGGGGCTTTTGGGGGCTCCGCCCCTTTCTTAGAGGCACGGTCCAATAAGAATTTCTCCTGCAAATGCTTTTTTCAATCATTTAAAAACATTTTTAAACATTTGTTTAAGGTGGGTGCTCCTTTAAGCAGAGTGGGGTGCTGTAGTTGACTCATTCCCACACTGAGAAAAGGGGGTTGGAGTAGGTGACCTCTAAGATCCCTTCTAGCTCTGTGTCAAGAAAGTGGTCTCCTTTAAGAGAGGTAATTTTTTTTGCCTGTTACCTTTCTTGACTATAGAAGTCACCCCCCCAACTGCTGGCTTGTTCTCAGAATTGTTGCTTAGGCTGGCAGAAGTGATTAACTTGCAGCAGCTGCGAACTGTCATCTAAAGTGGCTGACAGATTGCAGTGTAGAGATCTATCCTGGTAACAACAGCTTTCTGTTGACTAAATGTCTTTTCTTTCTGCACTGAGAACTTCAGCCCCACCAGAAAAAGAATTTGCCCCACAAGCCACAAAGTCCTGGCTATGAGCCTGAACATGGCTATCATCTGCACATCTCCGACTGTTAATCTTTCTTCCACCCATCTTCACTCCACCTTCATCTGAACCTAATCCAGCTTTCCTCGTGATAAATCCTGCATATAGATTGAAGAGACCGGGAGATAAAATTCCACCTTTGCCAACTGGAAACCATTCTGTTTCTCCTGGGGTGGAGGAGAGGCATTCAAAACCAATGATTCAGATGAATGTGAGCATATGAAATATACAAAAAAAAGAAAGAAAACATTTTAAAACAAATGAAACGCCTACGGAGGAAGAATTATTTCAGCTTCTGTAATCTCATCTCATCAACCTTTTTGGAATTACCCAAGAGGGTTAAGAAACGTCAGGACCAAGTTGATTTGGTGGACATTATGGACTTGGATTCCAGAAAGCTGTTGACAAAATTCCCCACCAGAGTTTTCTTTTTTCTGAGTAAACTCGGGAGTCATGGGAGAAGCGGAGAGGTCTTCTCATGGCTGAGAAACTGGTTCCATGACAGGCAATGGGGAATAGGAGTGAATGGACAGTTCTCACAGTGGAGGTCAGCAAGCAGAGTGGTTCTGTGGGAATCAGTATTGGGAATGTGTTCATAAATGATCTGGAACTGGGGGGTGAGCAGCAAGATAGCCCTGTCGGCTGGTCACACCTGAGAGCCAGAGTGGTGTAGTGGTTATGAGTGCTGGACTAGGATCTAGGAGACCAGGGTTTTCGAATCCCCACTCTCCTGCGGATGCTCACTGGGTGGCCTTGGGCCAGTCACTCATTCTCAGCCTATCCTAATTCACGGTTTGTTGTCTGAAGAGATGTTGAGTAACTAGGAAAGGATTCTTGGCTGTGTCGGACGCCTTAATGAAAATTTTGGCTTAATGTGAAGCAGGGGTGGGAAAAGTCAAATCTCTGATAGGGATGGTTAAGAAGCAGACTGAAATCTAGGTAGCCTTGCATAGATCTACGACACACCTGCATTTGGAATATTGTGTACAGTTCTGTGGCAGCCTCTATCTATCTATCTATCTATCTATCTATCTATCTATCTATCTATCTATCTATCTATCTATCTATCTATCTATCATCTATCACCTATCACCTATCACCTATCATCTATCATCTATCATCTATCAATCCATCCATCCTCTATCCTCATCTATCATCTATCCTCTATCATCATCTATCCTCTATCATCCTCTATCATCATCTATCATCATCTATCATCCTCTATCATCCTCTATCCTCTATCCCTCTATCCCCTATCCCTCTATCCCCTATCCCTCCTACCTACCTATCATCTATCTTCTACCTATCATCTATCATCTCTCTATCATCTATCTAGCTAGCTACTATCTACCTATCATCATCTATATCATCATTATCAATCATCTATCCGTCATCTACCTATCATCTATCTTCACTCTATCATCATCTGTCTACCATCATTATCTATCTATCTATCTATCTATCTATCTATCTATCTATCTATCTATCTATCTATCTATCTATCTATCTATCTATCATCTATCTATCTTTCATCTATCTATCTATCTATCTATCTATCTATCTATCTATCTATCTATCTATCTATATCTAATCATCTATCATCTATCATCTATCTATCTATCTTTCTTCTTCTTCTTCTTCTTCATCATCATCATCTATCTCTCTTGTAGTGCTGAAAAATGAGCAGAGAAGGGTAACTAAAATGATGAACAGGAGCATATTAGAGTCCAGCGACACCTTAGAGACCAAGAAGAGTTTTGGGGTTTAAGCTTTCAAGAGTCAGAGCTCCCTTTGTCAGACATGAGGAGAGCAGAAATTGTGTAGAAACACAGTAGAGTAGACTCCCCTCGAGTCTGTCCAAGTCCTTCTGCATGGAGCTGACCCATGACCGGTCACGGTGGCCTTGGGCTTTTGATCTGAAGAACTGGAAAAAACGCACAATGCTCCACAGCAGCATCTCCATTGAAATACATCCTTCCTGTCTTCCTGGACTGGGAAATGTCCAGCCTCTCCGCTCTCGGTTCGGGCATCTGCTGAGCAAGAGGGCTGGGCAAATTGTATTCCCTGTTCAATATTACAAAAGAGCTAGACATTTTGGGGAGCCGGAATTTTTTTTGGGCTGTGCATAGCAAGAAAACATCTGAAGCCTCTGGCGATGAAGGAGGAAAAGGCTTTGGATGTTTTCTTGCTATGTACAGCCAAAAAAATTATAATGCGGTGTTATTTACGCGGACCGCCACCCGGGGTCCATGGCACAGGCAAGAGCTTGGATCCTAGAACAAAGGAAACTTCGGATCCTCATCCTGGATCCCCCAGCCCCAACCAATAGCCACTTAGGCGGGACATTCAAACCCTCCAATGGGAATGGGGGGTGCTGGGTGGATATGTATATAGTTGGCCATGTCGGCCGTTAGAGTTAGTCTTTGTCTGTGTTAAGTACAATAAACGTGTGCTAAAGCATGTTGTCGTCTGAGTCCTCCATGCGGCGAACTCAGTACTTTTCATGCAGGTCCTTCCTCCCTGCAGTTCATGGGCCCAAATCTTGTTCAGCCTGGAAGTACTTCTAGAAGTTTGAGAACGGGGAAATTGGCACCACCTCCTTGGTTATTCTGCTCTCTGATGGCTCAGCTGATACTGTTAAACCCCACTCTTTCCTCTGAGGGAGCAAAAGCTATTTTCCGAGCAGACGTTTTCAACAGATCTTCCCTTCCGTGGCCCCAAACAGTAAGCTCTTATGCATCTAACATTCTCTCCGTTGTTTTACCAAACTCACACTGGAAGGCAGAAAGATACGGCTCTAACCACATTCAAATACCCCCTGGGCCAACGCCGTACTGACTGCAGGGTCACCCCTGAGCGGCCAGAAAGCAGCCATAAATCTATGCAGAAGGTACCATAAAACTGAGAGTTCAAAGGAAGTGACAGCGGCATGCAGAGCGGAGGCGACCATAAAATCCGAGAATCAAAGACAGTGGAAGTGGTACTCAATGTAGAGGGGGATTTCTGTTCCGACGTGGGTTTGGTAAAACAGCGGAGCGAATGCTAGATGCAGAATGGGCCTCTGTGTTTAGAATGAGGGTGCAGGAAGTCTACAGATTATGCAATAATATCATGTGAACGGGACGGTGTATTGCCTTTACGCTTTCCAGACTCCAGGTGGGGGGGGGGTGTCTAGAGATCTCCCAGACTTACAACCAATCTCTAGTCTACAGAGACCAGTTCCCCTGGAGAATATGGCTGCTTTCAAGGGTGGACTCAATGGCCTTATTCCCCGCTGGGGTCCCTCCCCAAAACCCACCCTCTGGAGAGTCCACCCCCAAATCTCCAGGAATTTCCCAGACTGGAGTTGGAAACCCCTGTCTTGTTGGTAGTCCTGAGGATTTGGTAACGGGCATGACAGATTTAAGGATCAGGTCATGAATCTGTCATCTATCATCTATTTATCATCTATCTATCTATCTATCTATCTATCATCTATCTTCTATCTTCTATCTTCTTCTATCTTCTATCTTCTTCTATCTTCTTCTATCTTCTTCTATCTTCTATCTTCTTCTGTCTTCTTCTATCTTCTTCTATCTTCTTCTATCGTCTTCTATCTTCTATCTTCTATCTTCTTCTATCTTCTATCTATCTTCCTTCTTCTTCTTCTTCTTCTTCATCACCATCATCATCATCATCTGTCTGTCTCTTGCTCTCTTTCTGTCATTCAGCCCAGGGTTGTTGTATGAACAAAATGGAAGGGTGGGAGAACCCACCTGGGGGATGAAACCCACCCCTCCCCCCACTGTCCCGAGCTTCTTGGGGAAAGGGCAGGTGAAAGAAATTTACTCCGTGCATTGGACTTTTTGGCTAAGATGGCTTGTAGACCACATTTGCCTCCGCTAACTGAAGCTGCCGGGTTTTCCCCCCCTCCCCCTAGGAGAAGCTGTACATTTAGCTCGGGATTTCGGATACATCTGCGAAACCGAATTTCCAGCCAAAGCCGTTTCCGAATATCTCAACAGACAGCACACGGACCCCACTGATCTCCACTCCAGGAAGAACATGCTGCTGGCCACCAAGTGAGTAATAACGTTACGTCAAGCATGTGCTGTTTCCAGGACCCACATGGGGTTGCCAGACTCCAGGGGGCGGCTGGAGAATCTTCCAGAATGACGACCGATCTTCAGGTGACTGAGATCAGTCCCCCTGGAGGAAATAGCAGTGTTGAAGGGAAGATTGTATGGAATCATATTCCCCCCTGTTCGCTCCCCCGAATTCTGCCTTCCGCGGTCTCCACTTCCAAATCTCCAGGAATCTCCCAAGCCAGAGCTTTGCAACCAATACTTCCTCTGAGCTGTGGAGTCTTGTGAGCAAAAATTCTACTTTGTGAGCTCCTGGCATTAAAGTTGTGAGTGAGCCATTTGGCTACTGCATAAGTTAGTTTGCTCTGGAGGGCCCTCCTTCCTGAGCTCAGGCAAAAAGGGGCGAGCCGGAGGCTAAAAAACTGCTTGCAACCCTAGTTTACACCTTTTGTCATTCCCCTTTGACACATTAGAAGGCTTCTTGCAAATGCAGCAGGATTTAAATTGAATTCAAGTATTTCGCTGCAACTTAAAAAAAACTTTGGATTTATTTTCTGTGGTCATTTTAGGATTAATTGATTTGTTAGGTAACAGCGTTCCGTGCACCTTGGTGTTTAGTCATGCCGGCCACATGACCATGGAAACGTCTTCGGACAGTGCTGGCTCTTCGGCTTTGAAATAGAGATGAGCACCGCAACCCTAGAGTCGGATTCGACTGGCTTTCGAGCAAGGGAACCTTTACCTTTATTTTACTTTTGTAACTTGACTAGCTCGGCTGATCGCTGCTGGTTTGCTTAGATGTACGTTCACTGCTTTTTCTCCGAAGAGCTCAAAATGGCTTCAGTCTAGGCAGTTTACAGGCCAGTCCTGCTTATTTCGGGATTTTGGGGTGTGCCATGTGTGTTTATACCAAGTCAGAGGTCTCCAAACTTTCTCTCTGAGCCTGTTGGCACCTATGGGTGGGCACTCCTAAATGACTGCCCGAGGAAGTAGAGCCAAACCCAAAATGGCTTCTCGAGGAGGTGGGCCGAGATGGAATACATCCCTCTTTTCATTTGCTGTTACATGATTGGTAGGGGTTATTTACTGATTCGTATAGGAAGTGTTCTCATTTGTATTATGGCTATATCCCTACAACTTCCTTTACAGCTGCTAATGATCTGATTACTATAAAAAATCCCAAACACAGACGTTTAATTCTTTTGGCAGGATGTAATTCACTCCCAACATCCGAATACACAGGAAGGCTTAAAGGTATTCCCTGGATTGAAAGAAATTGTTCTTGTGTTTCTTGAGCAATAGAGACCATCTTATGTGTGCTGTACTACCCTCTGTTTATTGAAGCTAGGCGTGATACACTGGGATCGCTTGTCAACTTTGACATTCAGTGCTCCAGTAATTATATTATCCTGAAACGGTTATTTTCCAATGATGTGGACTGGGCTGGACTCTGTCCCTAGATTTCTTGTGTACTTCATTTAAAAAATGATCTTAGTATTTTTTTTATTGATTTGCTCTGTTGTCGTTTAATCCATAATCGCACCAACCTACGGTTGAATGGATTGGGGACTATATATAGCAGCTGTGAAGGGTAGATCGTATGGAATCACATCCCCCTTGTTGTGTTAGAAGAAAGATGGGGAAAAGTTCTGAGAGTCTTGGAAATTATAAAGGGAGGGTGTGGTTGCGGAAGTGGGATGTTCCAGTTCAGCCTGAAGGACTTGGAGGAGATTTATTTTTTTAAAAAAACACACCAAACATTTATGTATAATGTGTTAATCAGATAATAAGAACTAAGAAATTAATATAAAGCAATAAAAGGGGAAGAAAAATGAATATAAAGCGATAAAAGGGGAAGAAAAATTCCATCTTATATCATCAGCATCAGGGAACCGCAACGATTTTCTTATATCTCCTTGTTAAAACAATATCCACTTCCCATATAGCGGGTTGGTCAGCAACGTATCGTTATCTGGGGCAGTGAAACTCTGTATTCTATTCTTGGTGCTCGAGGGGCAACAGTGGGAGGGCTTCTGGAGTTCTGGCCCTGCTGGTGGACCTCCTGATGGCACCTGGGTTTTGGCCACTGTGTGACACAGAGTGTTGACTGGATGGGGCATTGGCCTGATCCAACATTGGCGTCTCTTAGGTTCTTCTTTCTGGGACACTGATACTCTGTATTCTTGGTGATTGGGGGGGTGACAGTGGGAGGGCTTCTGGAGTTCTGGCCCTGCTGGTGGACCTCCTGATGGCACCTGGGTTTTGGCCACTGTGTGACACAGAGTGTTGGACTGGATGGGGCATTGGCCTGATCCAAAATGGCTTCTCTTCTGTTCTTATGTTCTTATGCCATATGTCGAAGGACCAGGAACCAAGTTAACTCAAAAGCTGGTGTATGATTTAGATGTTTCTGTGTGATTTATCAGGTTAGGAAGTTTACACGTAATAAGTTGGTTCCAGACTTTCTCATTCTAGGGGGCCATAGAGGGAGGTTTGTGTTCTTTCCAGTTAGATGCAATGGGAAGGCGCGCTGAGGCCAATAAGATGGAAATTAGTTCTTTAAAAAAATTAAAAGAAGCGAAGGGCTTGGATCAGGGCAGGGGTGGGTCACGACCCTGGCAACCCCTCCTCTTCTCTACCGATCTTGCCCATCTGCCTTGCCACCTTTACCCAGAGAGTCAAAAGATGCCACTCACCTTGCCCTTTCTGGTGGCTAGAGATCTCTTGGGATTACAAACGATCTCCAGGAGGTGTCGCATCTGGAGAAAGTGGCTGCTTTGGAGGGTGGCCTCTATGGTATTAGAGCCCATGGAAGCCCCTCCCCTCGCCAAACCCCGCCATCCTCAGGCTCCACCCCAAAACTCTCCGGGTATTTCTGAACCTGGAGCTGGAAACCCTACTCCCAACTCAAACTGTGTGTGCCCAGTGGAACTTCCTGATCTCTCACGAGATTTCTTCTTATAGGGCGGGGGGTCCCCAACTCTTTTTTTTTTGTGGGTATATATATTTTTGTGAATGTGCTTCTGTGCCTGGAAGTTATGGTGACTTCTGACGACCCCTAGTGGGGGGCTTTGACATTTCAGAGAGGTGGCTTTAATATTGCCTTCCGGTGACCCCCCCAATCCCGGCCCTTGTAGTCCTTGGAGGGTCTCCCTTCCAATTCCTTGCCAGGGTCGGCCCTGCTTGGCTTCCGAGATCTGATGGGATGGAACTAGCCTGGGCTATCCAGGTCAGGGCGGTACCGAACCTTTTTGAGCCGGTGGGCACAATCCCAAAATGGCTGCTGCAGGAGGCGGGGCCAGCCACAAAATGTCAATGAGCGGAATTATGCCTTGCTCTCCTTGTAATCTTGTCCTCACAGTTAAGTTCCCTTATATAACCCTAAATTGTTACTAGGCTTAGTCAGGCAACATCTTCTATCTAGACCAAGAAGGGGATGGATTTGTGTCCTACCATCCCCTTCATGCATGTGATGAACGAGGCAGCTCTTTGGTCTATGAAAGCTCAGCTGCAGGGAGTGTTCCCTCTAAGCTGAGTTAGTGTGAGCCAGCTCACAGCTTTTTAGCCTCCGGCTCACACATGTTCACCTTAGCTCAGGAAAGGAGGGCTCCAGAGCAAAGTAATTGATGCAGCAGCCAAATCGCTGGCTCACAACTAATTGTTGTGTAAGCCAGTTTGGTGTAGTGGTTAGCAATGCTCCCTCTAAGCTGTGGAGTCTTGTGAGCAAGACTTCTACTTTGTGAGCTACTGGCATTAAAGTTGTGAGCGAGTGATTTGGCTACTGCATAAATTTCCATCTTGGTGCTGAAGACATTTAACTTGAGGCCAGCGCTACTGACGTCAAGGGAATGAATTTCGTGATAGTCTGAGCCACTTACCATACAGGACTGTTGCTAAGGATAACTAAGATAATGCTTGATTCAGGTAGGTAGCTGTGTTGATCGGGAGCAACAGAACAAAGTTTGAGTCTGGATATCTGAAGAAGTGTGCATACACAGGAATTCTTATCCCCGGAAGTAAACCTTGTTGGTCTTAAAGGTGCCACTGGACTCAGACTTTGTTCTAAGATAGTGTAAGTGCATAGTGCATCTTTGAACATCTCTAAGCATGACACAAGTGCGTCTTCTTCTTCTTCTTCTTCTTCTTTTTAAAAAAACTTTTTTGGTGAGTATTTGTGTGTTTCTGTATGCCTGGAAGTCACAGTTGACTTCTGGCAACCCCTAGTGGGGCCTAGTGGGGCGAACATAAACAGCATGATAAAAAGTAGAGACATCACCCTGCCAACAAAAGTCCGCATGGTCAAAGCAATGGTATTCCCAGTAGTCATGTACGGCTGTGAGATTTGGACTATAAGGAAGGCCGAGCGCCGGATAATAGATTCTTTTGAACTATGGTGCTGGAGAAGACTCTTGAGAGTCCCTTGGACTGCAAGAAGATCAAATCAGTCAATCCTAAAAGAAATCAACCCTGACTGTTCCCTGAAAGGCCAGATACTGAAGCTGAAGCTCAAATACTTTGGCCACCCAATGAGAAGGGAGCACTCACTGGAGAAGACCCTGATGCTGGGAAAGATTGAAGGTCAAAGAAGACGGTGACGGCAAAGGATGAGATGGTGAGACAGTGTCATCGATGCAACGAACATGAAGTTGAGCCAACTTCAGAGGACGGCGGAAGACCGGAAGGCCTGGTGGGATCTGGTCCATGGGGTCGCAAAGAGTTGGACTCGACTGTGCGACTGAACAACAAGTGGGGCCTGGACGTTTCAGAGAGGTGGCTTGCTACTGCCTGCCTCTGCGTCCCAGCCCTGATATTCCTTGGAGGTCTCCCTTCCAAGTACCTTCCAGGGTACTTTGCTTCCGAGATCTGATGAGATCCGGCTTGTCTGGCCTACCACAGTCAGGGCACAAGTGCTTATTAATTCCTTTCCAAGTCATGCAGGAAAGGCCCGGGTCCCAACCTAGTGTCAATTTTACAGTCTGCCATCTTTAGTGCTGTAG